ACAGTTCAAGAAGGGAGAGGGTTGACATGTCGTGGGATTGTTAACCAATGTCATAAAACAATATGTGTACTACTGTTTAATGAGAAACTATTTGTTCTGTAAACCTTCACCTGAAGTACAATTAAAAAAAAAAAAAAAGAATACGCCTTTTCTACACGGCTGAGTAGTGGGTAAGCATGAAAACTCTGAAACTAGACTTGCCTGGGTTTAAATCCTAACTCTTCCGCTTATTGGCTAGTTACTTGATTATAATGTGCCTCAGTTTTCTCATCTGTCAACAGAAGAAAATAATACTGCTTACCTAATAGATAGCTATGATGATTAACTAAGACAACGCATATAAAGCTGGTACTTACAATATACAGTAAGACCTGTAGCCAGAGCGTGTGTAGGGCAGAAACCTGTCAGAGAAGGAAAACTCAAATATTTGCCACTAAAACAAGCCATAGAAGAATGGTAAAACTGTACCCTGTCAAAGGTGAAAAACCTGCAAGACCTGGAACAGCAAGGCAGTCCTGTTGAGTTCTGGCTCTCATAGATTTCACTGTAGTATGTACCTAGTAGGTGCTTACTCACTATAATCATTTCCAAAGAAAAGTCTCACAAATTCGTGGGACCAACCATTTCTGTCTTGCGTGGAGGTGGAAGGGAGTGTAAAATATACATGGCCGATTTTCGAAGAATTTGACACAAAGTTTTACAGTCTTCTATTTTTAGGTCCTCAGCATCACCCTTTCCTCTGGCTCAAGTTCAACTGCCATTTTAGGGTCAGGACCACATTTGACCACATTACCTCTCAGGCAACTTCCTGCCCAGGATGTTTTATGGGGAAGGTTGTACTCTATCTTAAAATTTTTAATGGCATACAATAGTGAAGGATTTCAAAACTGTTGCTGACAGTGGGTTTATCTTGCCGCTATTAATTCAGAAAGTGCTAATCGTTGCAACAGTTTTTAACAGTTGAAACTTAAAATAATACTTTCTGTTAGCTCAGCACCTTTCTAGAAAGCTCAGAAATGGTCTGGAGAGCAGATGTGCAGTGCGTGTATAGAGAATTCAGGGTAAAATCCTGCTAGTGGTTTTGGTAGAATTTAGATTTTACTTTTGCTATTACCAAGCAGGCTACAACACAAAAAGTAAGAATAGCAGGTTGGCCTTAAAGAACAATCCCAAGGTTTAAACAGATACATTATACATAATACATAATTTTAGAGTAAACTCTTTATGAGCTAAAGGATTTGGGTTCTAGAGCTTGTAGTATAATACAAATTTTACTGAAAGTCAGAACCAGTACAAGAAATTGAAACATTTTAAAACTCATTCTTTCAACATTTAATACCAGGCCCTAAGCTAGGTGTTAATAATGGATGTAGAGATGAATAAAATGCAGTCACTGCCCTGGAAAGGCTCATAGACGAGACAGTGAAGCCGATATGTAAAGAGATAAATAACAGCACGCCATGGTAAGTGCTGAAATAGAGACTGGCGTTAAGTGCTGTGGGAGTACGAGAAAGGGAGCATTACACCTGCCTGAAGTCTGAGGGGACTTCACAGAGAAGGTGACTGTTGAATTATGCCTTCAAGTAATGACACAGCCCAGCATGTGCTTTCTTGTAGTAACAGCAAAACAACAGTGTAATATAATTACCATTTCCAAACAACATGCTAAAGGGGTTGCAAATATTACCCCTAGGTCTCACCACAACCCTAAAAAGTGGGTATTAACGTCCCCCATTGTACAGGCAAGGAAACTGAGGCTCGAAGATTAAGAAGCTCTGGGTCACAAAGCTAGTGAGTAAGTGGACTGAGGATTTGAGCTGAGATCTGTATCATTCCAAATCCCTTACCATGACCCTATCCTGCACTACCCAGAAAGATCTGTTTCTGCTCCCTATTGCCAAACAGTGCATAGTTAACCCATAACTATGTGCAAGCACACTTTGGAAGCCCATCTAGAAAGTCAACCTTAGCTTAAAGAACTGGGTATAATGTGAATGGCCAAGGTGGTGACTCTGTATACCCAGTTTACCTAGCTCACCGTGCCCTCTTCTTTCTCTGAACTTCAACTACATTTAGTTGAAATGATTTATTCTGGTTCATGTGCATGCCAGACTCCCTCTCCTGTAAACTGTAAACACCTTGAAGTCAGGAAAGGAGCCTTTTACTTCTTTGAGACCCCCAGCGTCTAGAGTTCACAGAAATTGACCAATTGGTTAATTGCTGACTGATTCACCCAGTGCTTTACAGAGGGCTTGGTAAGTGTGCATTTGACTTGAGTTAGATTAACTGAGATGAGATGACTAGACTTAAGGTTTCTGTGCTATAAAATAAGAAAAGCTGAATTGAGAAGCACAGCATTAGTGGTTTGTAGACTAGTGCCTCTCAAACTTTAATGTACCTATGAATTACCTGCCTAAGCATACAGAACTGTCCAGTTCACCCTATTAGAAAGCATACATGAGGTAGGCAAGTACTGGGATAAAGCAACTCAGGGGAGCCTTGACCTGCAGGGGATTCACTTGCTATGTTTTCAAACCTTGTCGCTGTTCTTCCTCGTCTTTTTTGCTTTCAGGGCATTGAAGAGTCGTAAGAATCATAACAGCTGTCATTTATTGAGCACGTACTTGGTGCTACTCTTGATGCTTTAAAAGTCTTATCTAATTCTCATAGCAACCTTATAGTGAACCTGTTGCTGTTGAGTCAATGCAGACTCATACTGACTCTATAGAACAGACTAGAACTGCCCCATAGGGTTTCCAAGACTGTAATCTTTACAGAAGCAGACTGCTACATTTTTTCCCCCACAAAGTGTCTGGTGGGTTCGAACCGCCGACCATCTGGTTAGCTGCCAAGCACTTAACCACTGTGTCAACAGGGCTCCTCCTGCTCTTTTTTTCCCCTCCCTCGTCAATAATATAGGTATAATACTACAAGGTTAATACAGGTATAATGCCACGACTAACTTTATAGTATTATAGCTGTATTACTGACAAGGAAAAAAAAAAAGGAGCAGTAATATCTTCAAGGTTACACAGGAAGAGCAGGGATTTAATCCGTTTTCACCTGAGTCCAAAGTCCAGGGTTTAATTGTTCCTTGACACTGGGTAGCAAGAGAGCATTTCAGGGACGTTTCAGCTTTATACCCAGTTGTACTCAGAAAGCAGCTGCAGAATAAGGCCCTCAGCAGGAGGCATGTGCCCTGAGTACTACCCTCTTTAGGTATTTAAAACCAGTTTAAGGTATTTAAGAGTTGGAGCTATCTCAGATAGCATTTTTGCATCTACCTTGTGGCTTACTTGCATTTTTTAAAGCAAATTGCTCAAGTCCACCTCTGCCTTTTCCCCAAAAACTCTATAGGTGTTGTTCCACCTGCTGCCTAGAAGAAAAGTCCCACCCTAGATTTTTGTCTTGATCTAGGTTCATTAAGGTTTGTGTTAGTCACCTCCCAAGACCTAAGAAGGTTTAAGGTTGGCTTCTGGGAAAGAGATCTAATGGCAGCACTGGAATTAGCAGAATTGTAGTAGTTTGCTGGGTGATCAGGGAAAAGGCAGTTAAAAGTCCAAGAGTATGACTTTTGGATAACTTTTCTCTTTATGGGCTTGGAAATAGGAGTGTGATAACAAGAAATGCCTGCTTTCTAAAGGCCTGTTTTTTAAGATCAAATCAAACAGTGAAAGACTGTTAGCTGTCTGTTAATTGCTCTATTCATATACATAAGGAGTCCCGGTTGCACCAATGCTTGCTAACAGAAAAAGTTCAAGGTTTGAACCCACCAGCCTCTACACAGGAGGAAGATGCGTCAGTCTGCTTCTGAAAACATGTACAGCCTTGGAAACTCTAAGCGCAGTTCCACTCTGTCCTATAGCGTCGCTATGAGTCGGAATCGACTGCACAGTGGGATTGCTTTTTTTGTATCCACATATACACATATTTCCAGACTGCTAGTTTCATTTTGGTGATGTTAGAATAGATCGTATTGACAAGGCAATCCAGAAGGCTCTGTATTACTTAATGATCTTGTGTGCAGTTTTTTTCATTGGGCAGAAGATTTTCCATACCAAGAACTGTCAGCTTTCAAGAAGGCAGAATTCTTTGCGTTTTCGTCCTGAAATAGGGTGGGAGGTGGAGAGAAGAAAAGCATGGATTAGATCAATAAACGGAGAACCGTTCTCCCAATACTCTTTAAACAACAGGTGGTTTTGATGTGCACCATCAATTCCTTCATGCACAGACGAAATTGCAGGAGGAGCGCTCGAACTGAGCATCCCTGGAACCTGCTGCTTAGAGATCAGGGAGCCCGTCCGGCAGTGTCCAGAATAATGGGGATTCCTGTCAGAAAGGAGACGCTTGTTCAAGGGGCTCAAGGACTACGTGGTACAGAGAAATTGGCTTTTGTCATTCTTCACCCCAACTCCTTCAATGCATCCCACCACCCCCTCCCCACCCTCCTGTTCTTATCTGGAGAAGAAAAGGGAAGGGTAATCTCCATCTTGACCCAAGTCCTTCAGAGAGTTTCCAGAAAGATTATTTTTAGTCGTAGTGGCGCCCCTCTAAATTACCGGGATTAGAAGCTGTGGTAGCAAAGAAGGCGTTGCGCGCGTAAAAGCTTCAGGATTTTCCGCGCATTGTTATAGGGGCGGGGGGTGCAGCCGATTCCCAAGGATGCGGCAGCCCTTGGTGTATCAAAGGCAGGAGTGACCCGGTCAGGAAACGGCGGGAGGATTTTTGTTTTTTTTTTTTTTTTTTTTTGATTTTTTGATGTTTTGAAGGAAGCTCGAAGACTGCTGCAGCTGCCTTGCGGGCCGGTCCCGGCTATGGGGTGGTCCCTGCAGGGGAGGAAGTTCCCGGGCACCGCGGCCTGCGTCACAGGGGGCTGGCGGCGCGGAGTCGGCTCGCCGACCGGCGGCGGCGACCCCAGGACCCGGCGCTGGGCGGCGCTGGCTGCCGCTGGCCCGGCTGCGCGCGGGGCGGCGCTGGAGGCGGCTCCGTCCGCGGCTGGGGAGGCGGAGGGGAGGAGGGCTGCGGGGTTGGGGCGTTAGCTGCGTCCCGGCTTGGAGCCCGCGAAGAGGACGAGGAGGAAGGCGCGTCTGTGGCCGCGGCCGCAGTGCTCCGGCCGCAACAAGCCATGAGCAACGTCCCCGCGGGAGACCCCGCCGTCGCTGGATGCTACTGAGCCCAGCTAGGAGACAGCTCGCCGCTCCCCAACACCCTCCACAGCCGACACCCTCGCGCCCAGAGGTAAGCGCAGGGGACCCGCGGAAGGATGGAGACTGGCGGCCCAGAGAGGATCACCGGGCTCGGTCCGCTAGGCGCACTGGGGCAAGACTCACCCCGCCTCGCTCGCCTGCCTGCCTCCTCCCGGCTCAAAATGTGGTCGCCTGCCTAGTGTGTGGTCCCTGGAGCCATCCGCTGCCACGGCTCAGCAACCCGCCAACCCCTACCCCCACCCGTCCCACGCCCAGCGTCCAGGCGAGGGACCCCAGCCTGGCGCCAAGCGCAGCGCTGCCGCGGCAGGTTCTGCGGGCTGGGAGATGGGAGTGGGGACCGGGGAGAAAACGGGGTCACGGCCGGGGGCGAGCGTCGATCTTTCTTACCTTGGAAATCTCTGAGACCCTTGGGCCTGTCCATTTTGGTCCTCTCCCCCCTTGCCACTCCCAGGCCCCTGAAGTTAGCACTTTGGGGGAGGGAAAGGCATGTGTAGATCTCAAAACGGAACGAGAGAGCGATGTCTGTTCACCTGCAAGACGAGAGAGGAGTTTAGCCCTATCGGGCGGGCCCCAGAAGCCAGGTGTCTAGGCCGGCGGTTGAGGCCAGGACCGCTGCCTTCATCCCAAGCCGAGGCTCGCCAATTTTTCCCTTTCTAGCTGGTTGCCAGAGAAGAGATGGTTAAGGATGGAGTTGGCAACTCAGGAACCATAGAATGTGCGCTATAGACGCTACTTCCATTTTTTTCTCCCCCACCCACTCCTGTCTCTATACATCAGATTCCAAACAGTTCTTCAAAAACCCGGCGCCATACCTAGTTTAGCAACAGCCGTAGACACCTAGCCCACCTTCTAGTGCGGATGTTTCAGAGCGCTGGGGCAAACTTCCCTTGGTTTCAGATTCCTTAAGCATTTCAAACTCCCAGCAAACCAGTTGGGAAACACTGTTAGGTCCCCATCCTCATTAAAGTAAAAATTAAAAATCAGTTAATCTTTGTGGAAGTGCCTGTGTTTGGCAGAGGGAGGCTTGAATTACCCCCATTTAGGGGGGAGGAATAGGCAAAGGAAATCGCAGTCTTATTTTAGTCACATACTTTCTTGTAACACCTGGGTAGTGTAAGAAATCTAGCCTTTACCAGTGGTCACATTTCCGGATAGGTATGTAGAGGTTTCGTAAGGCATGGATGAGACATCTGCATGGACAGGTCGTTAAAATGCCGTCTAGAGAAAGGAAGTAATAGTAATGGTAATCCCCTTGTGTAGCTGCAAAAAACTGCAAAATTGCCAGTCAGTCATGTTTATACATTTATACATTTTTTTAATGTTTTATAGAAAACTTATAAACCCAAAATGTAAGCTGATCTTCAGAAAATTTGATCAGATTCATAAACCATGTGTTGGATGTGTGAACAAAGATACACAAAGATTAGATTTATAGAAATCTAATCTATGAAATTTGTATTTCTTGTGACATGCTTAAATAGGGAAGGCCAAGTGTGTAACCCTGATTTGCTTTACTTTGGAGTGCTTAACTGAAATACTGTCTTAGAGTCTGTTTGTTTGCTTTTGGTGGTGGGGGGCGGGGAACAGCTTTGCAAGAATTGATGTTTTCATGGTTCACATAACAGACTGACAACAGACAGGGCTCACCAACCCAACATTGTATTAGAAAGAGCAAGTATATTTAGCAGTTTTGTTACTAATAAAATTTCAAGTCTTTGTTAATGGTACTTATCTCTTATTTCTCGGATTGACTATTTAATCCGAGGTATGTTTTCAGAAAAGAATGCTGAAAAAATTAGGAACTGTAAGAAAAACAAATGAATACTTTTCCATTTATATGAAATTTATCTTTTAAAAACAATACAAAGTTAAAAATTTAAGTTCCAGGGTATCCAAAATTTACCAAATTCTTATGATTTTTATTAGTCTGTGTCATTTTTAAGTTATAGAAACCAATAGGATTATAATAAATCCCAAATTTAAGAGGGAATGGGGTGGAAATGTGCTTATTTTGCCAAGCATTGGGTTAATGGTTGACGATGGTACATTACTTAAGACAGTCTAGCTGCTCTGGGTACCTAACATACATTACCTCAGATTCTTAACCCCCAAGGTAGATGGTGCCATCCACATTTTACAGAAGAATAAAGAGCCTCAGAGTTTGTTACTTGCCCGAGACCATACAGCTGATTTAATACCTGAATGAGGCCAAACCTTTTGGCCTTAATGCTGTACTTTTTCCGTCATTCCAAGCTGCCTCTTATCCCCAACCCTCTACATAAATTTATTGTCAACTTACCATAATGATTGTAACTGAAAACTGAGGTTGAGAAAGTAAAGTCATTTGTCCAGGGTTATCTATGTAACTTGTATGTAGCAGAATTGGAATTTGGAATCAGAACCATCTGTTTCCAAAACCCATGTTCTTGCCACTGATCTCTACTAAATGACTGATTAAGAACTCAGCCTAATGGACAATTTGCTCTTGTCCATCAGCAATTCTTGTCTACATGAAGATGATAGTCTCATGGGCTGCAACATAGTCCCAAGATTTTATACACAATTCCAGTCCTGGATCACTCACAAAAACATGTCATAACCTTCTGAGGGTGACATTACCATGGAGGTATCATTGAATCCACTTAATTTCTTTTAAAATAAGTATCATTCTGAATTGGTGTGGGGTAAAGTTCATGGCCTCAAGTTGGGAAGGTTGGGTATCAAATTCTGGCTCTATTGCATAGTAGCAGTACAAACTAGTACAAGTCATTAAGCTACTTAGAGCCCCAGTTTCCTCATCTATAAAGGGGTTCCTAAAGCCTGCTTAGCTGGATTATTGTGCTAATATAACCCTGCATATAAGGGACAGCTTCTGGCACATAGTAAGTACTCAGTAAATGGCAAGGATTAATATCACTGTATCCTAAAACTGGTTGAAATTTCTTCCATTTTTCACTTTATGCATATTTTATATGCATATATTCATTAGTCATTATTAACAATGATTCACTTGTCATACAGCTACACAAAGGTCTAATCTGGTTGTTAGCATCTTTTACTTTTGAATCACATGCTTTTTATGTAGTTCTGATATGTAAACATTTTCTCACCTTACATAGTTTTTCCTTTGCTCCACTCTATATATTTATTAGATTTTTACTAGAAATATTTGAGTAAGTGGGAACTTACAGTCTTTGCCAAACACACTTTCCTGTTTTCTGCCACTCCTGATCCTCTGTCTGGCTTATCTCTCAAGGCACCCTGACAATCCCAGTATCTCTCCAGCACACACCTCTCCCTCAGTTGAAAGTCTGTGTCTCTTGTAAGGTTCAACCCAAATACCACTTCCTTCCTGTGCTGAGCCTGTATGCCTCCCTCTTTTAAATCCTTTGTCACTTCGTAAACCAGACAACGCATGCTACCTAGTGTTTTACTTTTTAGCTATTTGCGCAGCTAATATCCCATGAAACTGTAAGCTCTTTGAAGTCAGGGACATATTTCTATTTCTTTATATTCCTTGTTTAATATAAAATGTAGATGGTATTTATTTCCTGAATGAAAGACTAGTCAAATATTCTGAAAGAAGTTATTACAATAATTAGGCAAGAAACCCAAAGAATTTGTTTCTATTACATGATTGTTAGTGACAGCTCCCTCTTTTAAAACTTGTTAATCCAGCCTTCTCCACCAATTTAACTGGTATTGTATTTACTGGCAGGCCACAGTTCTTAGACAAAGCCCTAACCATTAGGCACCAGGTAAAACAGATATGTTTCATTAATAAATTGCTCCCTTGGTGATATAATAACCTCCTTCGGTTGTGGGTACATTGAGCAAGTCAACAGTACTTGAGTAGTTTGGCATTTTAGATGGGGTAATGATCCAGATAGATTTATTTAATTAGAAATAGGATTTACCTGAGAAAAAGGAACACATACCTTAGACAGAAGGTCGAGATAATGAGCAAGGAGGGTTTCAAACCACTTTGGTTGGAAATAAGACTAATCATAGCACAGCGTGGAATCTAGAACCAGAAGTGACTTTCATGAGAGACTTAACGATGGGAAAAGACTTAGATGATCTATGCCATAAATATGAGGAGTGGGAAAAATAAAAAGGAGGAGGTAAGAGACATGAATCAAGACTATAATATTGAATGAATGAAGCCTTCTAGATACTGGTCATTCATGGACTACAGGAAAGAGACTGTGGGGTCAAGATGGGCGAGAGAGAGAAACTGGTGTGGTCTCGAACATCAGGTACATGTACTCCCATATACTCTTCATATACTCCCACTTGCTGCCAGGGCTAGCACAGAAAAACATGCAGGGCTTTGTTTTTTTAAAAAGTAGATGTTGTTGTTTTTGTTGTTAGGTGCCATTGAGTTGGCTCTGACTCATGGTGACAGGTATAAACAGAACAGTTTTCATGATCTTTGTGATTGGTGCTATGCTTAAGTCCATTGTTGTAGCCACTGTGTCGGTCCATCTCATTGAGGGTCTCCCTCTTTTTTGCTGACCCTCTACTTTACCAAGCATGATCTCTTTCCATAGCAATTGGAAAAAAGTAGAGAGTTTGGAGTAATATATTGAAAATTTTCTAATTTTTTAAAAAAAAAGCATTTTTCCAATATCAGGCATGAAACCAAAAGGCACCTGGACTTAAAATATATTCCTATCTACTTTTTAGAAATGTAACACACTCTCACAAGTTTTGAGAGTGAATTTAGGATCTTTTTTGGTGTTGGATGGATGAGCTTTTTAAATATGACTCTATAGTGTATGGCATATCTAACACTGAGTGGCGGTTGGTAGAGAAATGGTAATGAATTGGGTTCAGAAAAGAAAAGAGGGAAATGACAAAATTAAAAAAATCAATTTTAAGAAAAGATGTTTTACAGCTTAGGGAAGTACCATATTTTTTGCAAATAATGCACCCAAATAAGTAACACACACAGGTAACACATGGCATAGCTCGCTTGCAAAAATAGCAAGGGGGGTTGTGTGGTTGACAAAAAACTTTATAATGTGC